GGGTCACCATAAGGCCCAACCCAGCTTTTGCCCAACTCAAAACTTATAACGAGCCCAACCCAATTCAGTATTCGCACCGCAAATGGCACGGGGGTACTACGTCATGCAACGGCCCCCTCCTCCTCAAATGGCGCCTTCCATCCACATCCTTTTTTTCCCATCCTTCCCCGCCTAGGACTGGCATTGCAATGGCATCCACGGCGGCGGCACGTCTGGGGGCCCCTGCTTGTCGATCCTTTCTTAACCCTGTAATAAATGAAACCCTCATCCCAACACATCGCCACGTCGCACTGCTGTCCCCTCTCCCACTTCTTGGCATCAGCTTCACTCGTTCTCGGTTCGTCTTCCCCTCCCCCGACCCCCGCGGTCCACAGGCCTAACTTGGAGCTGTTGGGCGTGGTGGTGGTGATTGCGGGCGGGCTGGTGCTGCTTGTGTGGGGAAAAAAGGACGAGAAGCAGTTCGACCTCCTGGGTTTCGGCCTGGTGATGACCGCGAGCTGCCTGGCGGGACTCAGATTCACGTTGACGCAGGTGCTGCTGCACGGGCATCAGTCGTCTGGTACGTGCGTCCTTTTGGGAGGCGTGTGTGGGTGTGAGTGCGGGTGCTGGTGCGGGTGCGGGGTCTTTGGTTTGCTTGGCTGGACGTCGTCGTTTCGCTGTCGATCCTTTCCAAAAATGGTGCAAATTGCATGTCAAGCTATGATGATTCTCTCCCCCTTCCCGCGGGGCATCCTCCCCCCCTCCCTCCCTCGCTCCTCCTGACAGCGTCCATGGGCGGTCCACTGGAGGTGTTGGAGCTGCTCACCCCCGTGATGGCGGTGACGGTGCTGTTCTTCAGTTTGGCCTGGGAGGAGCTGTGGGTGGTGCTGCCACACTCTGTGTACTTCAGCAGTTTGGAGCACACGGTGCTGACGCTGATGGCGATTGCGCTGGGGGCGCTCATCGCCTTCTTGATGGTGTGGACGGAGTATCAGGTAGCAGGGGAAGGGGGGAGGGAGGATGTGGAGGAGAGAGGTTTCCGACGTGGGGGCTTCTGGCTTTTCCCCCTCTGGCAAAGCTGTCAAGTTTGACCGGTTTTTAACTTGACCTTGACCGTCCTAACCCTCCACCCGCACCGCAAAACCAGGTGATCAAGGAGACCTCGGCTCTCACCTTCATGATTGCCGGTACCGTTAAGGAGGTCGTGACAGGTAGGGAGTGCTGGGGGGCTGATCTGGAGCAGCGAGAGGAGAGGCAGGAAGAGGAGGAGGAGGATGTGACACGTCCGGTCTATCCCGTATCATGCCGTCCACAGACACACATGCACCGCGCCATGTCCGCCCGTGCTCCCGCAACCTGTCTGCATTACTGCAACTACTACTAGTTGTTGTTTTACTGCCCTCTCTTTATCAACCCGGCTTCCCTGGACTGTTGCCGGGGGCATATGCAATCCAAACCTTAACCCAACACCTTTGGGGTCCCCCGCGTCATTACCCCTTCAGTGCTGGCGGCTGTCGTCATCATGCACGATGTAATGACGTGGATCAGCGGGCTAGGTTTGCTAGTCGTCATTCTTGGTGTATTGCTCTTCAACTACCATAAGTACAAGTGGGTGGGGGTGGGGATGGGGTGGGGGCTGCGGCATGTTGGGTCTTGATGGGAGTTGCAGGAGAAGGGGTGCGGATGGCGGGACAGAGGGCGAAACATTTCTCCCGTCAGTTTCTCCCGTCAGTTGAACTGTTCGTTGTCGGTTGGATGATGGTTTGCCGTCTGTTGGGTTTAGTCCTTGTCCTTAAGGGGAGGGAGGAGGGGAGAGGAGCAGCACAGGGGTCGCGACATGGTTGCGGTGTGGGTGCTGTGGCGGCGAGGTGAAGCCGGCGGGTGCTGTGGGTCTTGTGCTTCTCATGGTTCGGATTGCTGTCGCTGCTTTTGCCTCTGCAGCTGCGCCTTTCGCTGCTGTTTCAACTGTGGTTATGTCCCCCCTTTGTTTTGATGTCGTCGTGTCGTCGCTGTTTTTCCTGCTGTTGCTGTTGAGGGGTCCTGATCCGTCAGGGTGCTATTGGTGGTGTGGTGCGCCATGCCAAGTGATCCGCCTCTCGCCTTACCCTGGGGATTTGCGATGCAGGAAACTCAAATCAGCGCCATCCCAACAGCACAAAAAGGCCAAGCAGCCCGACGGCGGGTCGTACACGGCCATGGAGACGCGCGAGGACGGTTACGGCTCTGACGAGGACATGAAAACGCCGCGACGGCAGCATGGCGGAAACCTCAGCAGCGGCGGCATTGCCAATGGCGGCGGAAGCAGCGCTGGCGGCACCGGCACCATGCCGTCCCCAGTGTCGGCGGCGGCGGTCGTTGCGTCTGCCGCCAACGGTGGGTCCCCGGTGTCATCTTCGCCACTGACCGGCGGCGGCGGCGGCGGCTCCGGCTCCCACAGCACGCAGGGAGGATTACTTTCTCGAGCCATTGCGGGGCTGCTATCCCGTGCCCCCGGCGGCGGCGGCGCCGCCGCCGCCGCAGCTAACAGCGAGCTGTCACCACTGCTCCCAACAGGCGGCGTCACCGGCGGCGCCGGTAACGGCCATTCGCCTGGGTTACGACCTATGATTGTGGTTGGCGCGGCACGTGATCGGGAGAGGGACAAGGACAGAGACAAGGAGACAGATAGGGATGGGATGGTGGTGGGAATGGGCAACGCCGGTGACGATCCTGCTGCGGCGGTGGCGCTATCAGGGGCAGGCATCTCGGGGCCTCAGCGCAGCGCGGCGCGGCCGGGGTTGCGGGGGCTGCTGGCGGGAACTGTGCCCACGACGACGGAGACGACAGCAGCGGAGGGCGCCGGAGGCGCCTGGTACCACCCGCTGATGACACCGGCGGAGCTGCCTCCGCAGGTCTGGAGCCCCCAGTTGCGATGAGCTGTCTTCTATCCCTGCCCCAGTGCTGAGCGCGGCTGGTTCTACGGTGAGTATAATATGGCATGGTACCAAGTATTGTGGTGCCCGCCAGCTCTGGCGACGATGAGTGTGAGTTTGCGAATTTTTTGTGCGTGTGTGCGGGTTCGACCAAACGCGAGTTCGAACCATTGTGAAGGGACTGCTAGCTAAGGCGAGTTGGGGCAGCGGGGTTTGTCCGTGTGTATGCGTGTGTTTTATATTGCTGTGCAAATATACGGCATTTGGTACACGAGCATTGTACTTTCTTGCCCAGTACGGCGCTCCCTGTGGCTTTGCTTGAAACTGAATTAACGGGAACTGAATTACGCGACGGATGTCAACCCCGGAGGGGATGCGAGGAAAGCGATGGGCGTTGCAGAAAGGCACCTAAGGGGCGAAAGCTCTCATTTCAAGGGGTTACTGTCAGTAACGGTACTCATAACTCAAGACATCGTTAACGTTTTGTGTAAAGCGTTTCACATGGAATAAGTAGAAGTGTGTTGTTGGTGAACTGAAGGGTTTATCGGCATTTGGCTACTGATATTGCGTACGCTTTCTGGCTATTAAGCAACAGGCGCAAGCCCGTAAGCCGAAGGAGCAACGGCCACTAGCGTGTACTGCCCGCCTGGCTGTTTGCACGCCGGGGCTGCCTGCCTGATTAGCCTGCCTGATCAGCGGCAGGGCCGTTCCCTCAAGTTAAGCGGATTATCGTGGTATCGAGTAAAACATCACGTGCAGTAAGGAAATCACATTCCTATAACCCGACAGGACCTTGATAGCTAGCTGCGGCGCGGGGGTTGATGATGTGTCAGTAGGATGATGGGGGAGGAGTGAAGAAGGTAGATAACGGAGTGGAGGAGGAAGGGCGTGCAGCGCGGGACCGTGCCTGTAGTCTACTGCATTAATCTGCTGCTAGGAGCTGGCTGCTGCCAAGGACACGGGTGGTGTGGGCTGCGTTGCGCTAGGGCGTGCTATAGCAGCAAAGCGGTTCTGCGTGGGCGGCCATGGATTCTTTCTTGGCGAGGACCCCAGTGAAATGCTTATTGCGCTTGTTGTATCGCGCCCAGTGTCACGTCATCGGGCTGCATGTAGCTTAGTACGCATAGTGACAAGCACCGAATAATACGCGCGTAGGAGTGACGTGGCCTACGTGCTGGCCTTCACGTATGTTTAGATAGCAGCATGCGGGACATTATTGTCTAGAGCGTTGGATGGACAGACGGCATCTACGGGACTGGACAGACAGAAACGTGTAGATGCGACAGATGGAGAGCCGCGAGCAGTCAGGCGAAGGGTTGGTAAATGGGTTAAGCGGACGGCGGATACACATGAGCGAAATTAGTAGCGTAGCACTTGGTGATGCGCAAACCCTGGAGCCAGTGGAGTACTTCCCAGGGAAGCCGTTAAGGGTTCCCTTCAACGGGACTGCGTAGCGTTTGGTGAAAGGCCGGGTTTGTTTGTTCGGCGCCAAGCGCAGGCATATGCTGACAGCTGCGCTGAGCTGGAAACCGCCCTGGCGCGCCTGGAATGCCCGGTATGCATGGAGTGCTCCGTATGTATGCGTGTATTGAGTATGTAGAGTATGTGCTGCCAAATGCCACGTGAGTCCCCAGTCCTGTGGTCTCCGCTAATCGGCCCCTTGGTCACGATCGGTCGCACATGCTCGGAGAACACATATCGACTGGACCAATAAACGAGTAACGGTATAGGTATCAGAGACAGGTATAACTTCACAAACCAAGAAAGGGACGGAGAGAGGGAACGGGGCGTGTGAGAAGCAGGTACCGAACCCCATTCTATACCTGTGTGCCTATGACGACGCCTTTCACACCATTACCGGGCGGCCCCCACTTGTACACCTCACGATGCGACCAGGCGGTCATCCGTTCCGATCCAAATTGGATCTCGCATGTAAACGGACAGGTTGGGTGGTCCACAAGGTTCGTCTCCCTGTTTCTGTTTCTCCCCGCGCGCGCGATAATGCACTGGCTCGCACCCTCCGTGTCGCTAATGTAATTAATCGTCCTTCCTTCACTGGTACGTCGGTACGGCCGGTAGCACGTACAAAGGTAAATCGTACACATGATGTCAGTTGCTTGTTTTTGTCGTACAGACTCGAGCCAGGAGCGGCTCCAAGCATTTCGACCACTTCTCCCGCGCGCCGCCCGTCGCCACGTTCCACTCCGAAAAGTCCAGTGTCGCGAACGACACGCTGAACACGGAATCCTCATCGCCACCGGTGGCGCTTGCACAGACAGAGCTTGTGGCTGCGGCATTCAAAGATGTCCATGATACGCCGCCGCCGCCATGCGTCTCGCTCGCATCCGTACGTCGAATATTCGCAGCCGTAATTCCTCCACTGCTGTCACCACCGTCCGTGACGACTCCTGCGCCCCGCCTGTTCCCCTCGCAATCGCGGACGCTGCGCTCATTAACATTTCCTATTGAGCTAGCAGAACCAGAACCAATAGCCTCTTCCCCGTTCGCCTCATGCCCCCGTCCGGCCGCTTGGCTGGGTCCCGAGGGCCGTGAAGACAGCTGCTCCAAAAGACCTCGTATGACCCACGGGTCAGCTGCCGTGCATTGCGTTGTGAATGCGGAACCCGCCGCCTCCGCAGTTTCCCGGTCTCGGGAGACCCCAGTGGTCGCCGTCGTAGGGCCCAGGGATGCGGCGAGAAATCGGTCTCGGAGCAGCGTATCCCCGAGACGACGAAGCAGCCGACCCCGTCTCCGTCCCCGCGGGTGCTGTTGCCGCGGAGCTGCGTCCCTCTGCTGTCTGCCTCTTCCCCTTCCCGCGGCGGACAGAGCTGCGCCATCCGTGTCGGCGTCTTCACGGCAGCTTGCTTCAACCTGACTGTCGTCGCCATCTACGCCAGCATCATCGCTGCCGCTGTAGCCCTCCTCTTCGCCGCTGCCACCTCCTCTGCCCTCGGCATAGCCTTCACCGCATAACTCCACCGCAAAGTGCGACGGACCATCTACCTCCAGCAGTACCAAACATTCGCCGTACTGTACGAGCAGATCAACACGAAGCATGCGATCCGGGCTCAGCGCCTCCTCCGCCACAGCCACCACGCGCCTTCGTACTTCCCCGGCGTCGCCGCCACCGCGATTTCGCAGTATCGCCACCACTTCGGCCTGCAACTCCGATGGCTTCGTGCTAGCCGTGTTTAGGAACCAGGCGTCACGGCAAGCACGAAAAAAGGCTGGGCAGGCACCCAATGGCCCGAACAGCACAATCTTCTCACGCTCACGTTCGCTGCCAGTAGCAGCACCAGCGATACTTTCAGCCGTCCCCCGTTTTTCCCCCATAACCTTGGGGGGAGGTGGCGTTGCCGCCTCTCCACCTTTTCCTTCTCCTGTTGCTGCTGCAACTGCTGGTGTTGTGGCTGCGACGTCTGTTGCGGCCACAACGGCGCCGGTGCCGCCGCGACCAACAACAATGGGCTCTCCTCCAATGGCTTCTGCGGCCCGCTGAGCTTGCCGCATCACCGCCGCAGCCGCCCGGACCAGCGCACCCACACCGCCACCATTGCTGCCGCCGGCACCGTCGCCGCCGTCCTCAGTCACACTCGGAAGCAACAACAGCTCCTGCACCTGCAGCTGCTGCAAGTCCCTTCCGACGACGTCGCTGCCATCGGGCGACGCCGGCACAGCCGCCGCTGCGGCCAGGCAGGCGGCATAATTGGCGCCGTACAGCTGTACGAGGCCGAACAGGTTGTACGGCTGCGCATCCAGCTCCTCTTCCAGCTTGCTACCGCCGTAGTGACCGTTGCCGCCGCCAACACCGGTAGCCACAGCGGTGACCGACGGCGTCGCGTCGCGTTCGGTGACGGATGTAGAGGTGGTCAAGCTGGCAGTTGCCGTACCTGCCGAGGCAGTAGCGGCAGCTACCGCGGCGGCCAGGACGCGGATCAAGGTGAGACTGCCGGGCTTAAGGATTGCCAAGGACCATGCCACCATGGCCAGGTCGCGAGGTGTCAATAGGAGGTGCGCGGCGCCGGCGTTGATGGATGACGACTGCCCCGACGGTGGAAGGGTCGACGGCGACAATGACGGAGAAGGAGACGTGGAGATGATGTCTTTGTCGGCTCGGGGTTGTCCAGGTGGTGGTGCAAGCTGTGCGCAAGGACTTGTACGATTGCGGTTGGGGCCGCCCTTTGGGTGGTAAAATGAGCCGTTCTTGTTGTTCTGGTGGCTGGTTGGTTTGTTGGGGCATGCAAGCTCCAGGCGACGATCCACCTCCCGCATTAACGCCTGCGTCATGATAGGCGACGGTGTGGACAAGAGTCCGGGCGTGGGCAGGGCGGCCAGGGCAACAAGGGAGGACGTATCCGATGGGGAGGGTGTATCAACCCGAGGCAAAACAGCCATTCAGGAACTGGCCATCGGCCCGATTAAGGAAAAGCTGTTGGTGGTTGTATGTAACGGTTGTTTTTGGTTATGGTTGTGGACGTTACGGCAGAGCTGCTCAACATGCCATCATTACCTAACTCGCCCAGCACAGCCAGGGTCGGATGCCCTTTCATCCTTTTCCCCCGTATATTGAATTGACCGGTACAAGCGTTTGGTGTTCGTCCCCTTTAGTCCCCTACAACCGACACCACTTGGCACTACCCCTCGAACGAACACACACGGACACCCACACCTCAAGTACGTCTGGCTGCGTGTCCGCCATGTACGGCGTCAATCGAGCTATGCCGTACAACACGTTTGACAGCTCCTGGGCGTTCAGAGCGGACGCTGCCACCGCCGCCCTCCTGGCTAGCGCGTTGATCAGCGGATCGTGCCGAGCCCCCAGGGCGGCGAAGGACCAGGCCAGGTTGCCGATTGTCTGGACATGCGGGGTTGCATGCAGTCCAGGGAGGGTGCGTGGTGGTGGAAAGAAGAAAGGGGAAATCATCGCCGACCAGGATTCAGACTCAAGACATGCTCTCGCCCCAAGTGGTTCGGCCCTTGCTGATGCCGCCACGCTCATGTACCGGTCAGGTCATTACTGGTTGCAGTGCCTCGCACCCATACTCTCTACCACGGGCCCAAAGGCGTACACACAGTAACGCCCCTAACGCCATATCGTCGTAATGGTACTAAACAGCAAATAAATAACCATAATAGCAACGGTGGCTACAGCTCCTGCTGTGGATCTGTTTACAGTTGCATGTTTATGTAGTAATAAAGGACCCAGCTGCATGGCAGATGCTTCGTACACCCGTACCGACCTGTGTAGGGCGCCCCTCATACGCCGCCAGCCGCTCCGCTAACGCTGCCTCCGCCATTGCATCACCTCTCCCACTTCCCCGTGCAGGGCGTTTTTCTGCTCGCTCCGCCTTCTCGCCTTCCCCTTCTTTGTCCTTCTCCTCCATCCCCGCATAGCAGTTTCTCCTGCGAGTCGTCAACGCCTCCGCCACCGCTGCCATCATTTGGGGTTGCAGGTGGTTGACGGTGGCGAAGGCCCACATGCAGTTGGCCAGAAACTGGTGGGACACCCGATCAGCTCTGCAGGCGGTGTTACCAGTGTGTGCGCAGTGGAGAGGAAAGGTTGACTGTAATATACCAACTAACGGCTTGGTTTGGCGTGGTTTGTATGTCGCGACTTGTTGCGGGGTACTGGTCGGAGCTCAGGACGGGGTTAGGGGTGGTCTTACATGCACCGGCAACATCCATGCAAGCATTTACATGAACTGACACACCGCATGTAGCAATCCAGCTTAAGAAGTGGCAGCGGACGCACAGATGTACGGATGTACATCTGGGCCTCCCGTAGAGCCATCAGCTGTAGCACATCTGGGCCTTCTTCCCTCCCGGTCGTTGTTGTGGTGGTTGTCGTTCTGGTGGTTGTCCCTATTCATGGATTTTATGGATGCATGTTATTCAAATGCGCGCCTTTCACCCTGGCCCTGCCTCGTCCCTCCTCCCCCCCCCCTCACCAGCGCTACAAATGGTGGGGACGTTCGTGCGCGGCCGCAACCAGACGACCCAGGTCACGTCAGAATCCGCCAACCTTCTCCTTGAGCCCCCCAACGACCTTCTGCAATCCCTTTCCCCTTTCCTCCTCCATTTGCTTCATTTGCCACTGGTTCGTCATGTCCCCCTTTTCCCCCTTTCCCCCTCCTGCACCCACCTTCGCGCCACCTCGTCCGCGGCCGCAGCAAATAGCCGAGGTGCCGCCACACCCAAAGTGCCGTACGCCCACAACAAATTAGATAGCGACTGGGAACGGGATTTGGGTTTGGGTTGTCAAGACGGTTGGGTTGAAGACGTAAATGCCATAACACTGTGCAAACGACTCTCACAACAGTACGTTCACGACTGACCCAACGCAGTTGATTGGAGTTGGGGATGGGGCTGCGCAGTAGGTGTTATATCGCATCATCACCGTCATCATCATGGCAGGAAAACTATAAATAAACAAACAGATAAACAAGCAGACAGACAAAAACCAGGACGTCCAAAAAACAGACAGAGGGACAGACAGACAAACGGGGTACTACTGGCTGCTCTACAGGCGGCCTACCTGGTCGTCAAACGACCGGATGTGAGCCGCGACGGGTCGCGACGCAGCGGCCATCAGCTCGGCCCCCTTTGGGTAGCGCAGTGAGGCCAGCGCCCACACACACGTTGCGAAGGCCCGCGGGTCAGCGGACACCAGCACCCGCACCTGCGGCCCCAGTGTGCCGCAGCAGCATCAGGAGGACATCAGACACCAGCAACATCAGTATAAACAGCAGTAGCAGCAACAGCCCAGGAGCAGCAGGAGCCTACACGCAACCAACAGGTGGCGGCCCAGCCCCAGCAATAAAAAAGCAACGGCAGTGCCAACAGTAGCAACAGTACCAGTAGTGGTAGCAGTGGCAATAGCAGTCGCCAGAGTGAGATGGAGAACACCCTTCCGGAAGGAGAAATAAGTCCGACCTAGATTCGCTGACTCAGATCCGACCCAGGTTCAGGTCCGGCCAAGTGGATGGGGACACCACAGGGTCACATTTACCCTGCCAGCAACCCACCCTACACCCAGACCTGCCTGCGGTGTCATCAGGGCCACCGCTCCCGCCAGCATCCTCTCGTCAGCGTATCTCAACCTACACGCCCCCCACAACATGTTGGCGACGCCCTGAGTGCTGCATTCTTCAGGGGTGCGCATTTGCCGGGCGGCAGCAGCTGCTAAGCCAGCTAACAAACCCTCCGGTGGCAAGAAAGCCCGGCGACCGACAGAACCGTCCCCCCTCTCCTCGTCCTCCTCCTCCTGCTGCTGCTGCTGCAGCTCCTGCGGCCGACTCGTTGTCCTCTGCTCGTGGCCATGATTTTGCTTCTGGTGCTTCTGCGTCTGTTCCTGATGCCTATGGGGCATGGATGGTGAACGCGGTGATGCAGCAGTAGCGCCGCTGGTGGCCACCTCTGCTACGCCGCCAGCAGGCAGCTTGGGAACGGCAGAGGTTGGATGTGGCAGTGGAGGTGAAGGTGGCAAAGGCAAGCCGGCGAGTGTACCGATTGCCCACCAGGCGCTGGACATGTCCTGCATGTTGAAAGAACCCAGTCGCGGAACGCATGCAGCCGCCAGGGCGCGCGCCGGAGGCAGCAGAGCGGACCAGCAGCAGGTCGGCTGGGGAGAAGGATGAGCAGGGGGATGAGGACGATCATGACCTTGACCAGTTGGCGCTATGGAGCCGTTGAAACCGATGCCCTGACGGTCTGGCGGCCTGGTGGCCTTGGAAAACTCCCGCGCCAGAAGCGCTGCGGCATAGAGAGCTTTGCAGATTGTCTGGTTGGAGGCGCTTTGCAGGGAGGCGGAGGGCAAGGGCGCGGAGGAGGAGGGGGATCCGCTGGTCAACGCGTGCAAAAGGACGACGGCATGGCCGAGGCAGCAGGGTGTGGATAGCTTGGCCAGAGCCCAAACAACAACACCCAGGTCGCGGCTGTTAGCATGGGTGCCATCGGCTGTGCCTGATCGGAATTGGTTTGCGAGGCCATCGATGTGTGTATCAAGATCAGCTCTGGACGCGCGGTCTCGCGCAACGGGCTTTGCCTTTGCAAGCTCTCTGAAGCTTCGGACAATGGATGATGGCGCTTTTGGGTTGACAGGGGCTGGGGAGGGAGTTGCGGCTGGGCGACGAGCGAGCTGTCGTCGACATGGGCCTAATCGCTGTCGCCCAAACGCTCGTTTGACCCCAGTGCAGACGTTGAAGACATACACGGGATTAGCTTTTTGAAGTATTCCACACACAGAGGATTTTGCATGACAGCCCTCAATAAGCCGACATCGCTGAGTAAGCATGCCAATTGCAAAATGAGGACTTGATGCTGAGTTTGTCTAATAGCCGTTAAGCAACATCCTCTTTTATTGTTTGCCACAGCAGACACATAGGTTTCCTGCCAGATGGGACAGAAATGCTCGTCCTCTACTGGTGTACAACAGTACCAGCATGAGGTCGCTGCGTCCTCACTCATCCGAGTAATTTATCAAGCATCACAAGTCACGCTTTGTATGGCCTATGCACCTTTCTCCGGTGATCTCAAGCCACCCGAAGGAGCTCTCGGATGGCTGAAGGGTTGCAGAGCGGCGCCCCATCCTCGCATCCTGGGGGGAAGTTCGGGCACGCATCCTGTCGGTTGGATGCATCCTGCAATCCCGCATTTCTTGTGTACTTGAGCCAAACAAGTCCTGGTGACTGCATCTCCCCCCCTCCCACACATCAGGCTTACAGGCATCTATTCAAACCCATGGGAAACCCTAGGCAAATCAACTCCAAAATGGATGAATCAGGATTGCATGTGTTCGCAATGAGAATATCTTCGTTTTGATATAAAATGCATATCGGGCTTTGTAGTTCTGACCTGGTTACACTTGGGTTTTAGGTGCATAGCTCCTTCCAAATATGCCGCCATCCCAAGCCCTCAGCCATCCTTATCCTGAGTGATTCCACATCTCTATCCTGCTCTCTCCCATCCGTATCCTGTGCCCGACCCTCCGCGCATCCTGACCGCTCTGCAACCCTCCGCCGCTGTGGCCAACGCCAACGCGGACACTAGCCTGCTCCAGGCTCACCGCGCCGCGGCACATCGGCTACTTGGGGAAATGGGTTGTTGCTTACTAGTCCCCGCCATCGCAGGGGTGAGATGTAGGCCGCAGCTCAGCAAGCCTGCAGCCATCCCATTCAGGATCCGCACTCCGTAACGACGGCAGGTGTGACCAAGTGTGGAGCGTGGTGGCCGCTAGCATCTTAGCATCGGCCGCATAGGCATCCGCCACCCAGGGGTTCCCTGGCGGGCCGCCGTGCCGCTATGTGGGTTGGGTGGCAAAGTCCCGGAGGGCCGCATCGGAAGCGACAGGATACAGCTCGGCAGTCCTCAATGTGCATAAGTGGGCGGATGTTCGGCGGCGATGAAGGAACCATTGGATCATCTAATAGAGGTCGCAGCACCCAGCAGAGCGTAGGGTGCGGACTCCAGAAGCAGCCAAACCGGTCTACCGGTGCATCATGGAGCCTTACGGAACGGCGGGAGGCGTGGACCGGTCTAAGGAACGGATGGTGGGCAAGCCAAAGCGTGCGGTACGCACCGTTTGGTGTGAAGGCGACGGCCCATAGGAAACCAAACAAAACTGCAAAAAAAACTGTTTATTTAAGATTGAAACAAGCTGACTGTATCTGCTCGTTATCCAGCAATACGAGACCGGGGAGAATGGTTAGGACTTGACACAGACCGATGAGTCCTTGGGCGGTCTCACCCAAGGGGGCGGGTAGCGTCCCCCGACCACAAAGTGCCAGTGAGGTGTGTAATAATTACGCACACACACACAGCCATTCACAAACACGTGACGGAAGATTTGGGTTCGGATACCACCGCTGGCCCCCCGGGTGAAACGGATTGAGGTGTTAAATGCTGAGGTGAGACACTGTGTTCCTCAGGTGCGCTGGGTGGCTGGAGTTGGAGCTCTCGCCATGAAGATCTATACACTGCCGCAGAAAGCAGTGACGGAGGAATAATCCTGCATAGAGCCTGGACAAGGCTGTATACCAATTGGTGGTTGGACAACGAGAAACCGGGCGGCGGCAGGATTCGCAAGGATAGAGTGGCGATTGGCACCGGTGTGAGTGCATTGGTAAATCGCACAGCTGTTGAGCATGCGCGCGGTTGCTCTACATCTGGGCTTGCTTTGCCTGAAGTGCGAGGTAGGACGGTGCATATAGGCGATCTGGCAGCCCTTGAGCTCTCGACTCGTATTGGGCGTCTTTGCAGGTACTGGGTACACACCCCCAGGACCATGGAACTCACACACACACACATCTGAGCTGGTGTATGTAGCTGGCTAGAGAATCGAGCAGGTGACGGTGCCTTGCGTTGATAAGGGAGAACGGTTAGGACTCTGACCGATACAACGCCCCTCCAATTACGGAGTGCTTCGGCGATCGTTCCTGTTGGGGTACGGTTGGGGTACGGTTGGGGTACGGTTGGGGTACGGTTGGGGTACGGTTAGGTGCCCCTGGCCAGCGCCAGGCCGGATCGATATGCAACAGATGCACGCCAAACACATACACACACATACACACACACACGCACACACACACACATACACCGTCATATATACACGTGCTGCGGGTGGTCGTGCACGCACAACCTTAGGCATGAAGAAGCGACTATTCGGAAGATGAGCTTTGTACATCCAAAATTCAAACGCGGACCTTATCAATCGGTGCCTGGTATGACCCACTCCGCCATGTGCACACAAAACCATAATCTAAAATCCATAAAACCGTTTATTATAATCCGACTGGTTCACGTGAGTGCCCTACCCTCCCTGGATGGCTCCTTTGCTACAAACAGTGCCCATATAAAGATATAAACAATGGTCGTATGTAGAGGCAATGACTACACGGCCGCGGAGGCGGTAAGAGGCTCTCCGATCTTGTATACCAGCAGTCCGGCTATGGGCTTGCGACGTGAATCTCATTGTTGTGGCCATGATATGGTATTGTATGGCGATGCATAGGGTGGCTGTGTAGCGGTCACGACGTTGTACGACGTGTTGTGGTGCCACGCCTGCCGTACCGACCTGCCTCCCACACCTATCCTCCCTCCGCTCCGTAAAGTGTCGCGGCCGGCCAGATAATGTGAAGCACTATGTATGTATGTATGTATCCCCCCCAGAGTAAACACCAGAAAGATGCTGATAAAACGCGTATGGATGTATGCCAGGACAAGGATTTATGCTACGGGGGGATGTATATCTATATATCCCCCCGTTGTTATGCAACTGTTGGTGATTCCCGTCGTTGTGCTAACGCACAACTGCTACAGCTCTAGGCTCACAGTCATAAGTCGAATGTCGTACGCCCGTACAGATTATTGATATCGTACGCATGCATGATGCATGCAAAAATTTTCTTCTTGCTGCGCTGCTTCGTTAACAACAGCCGTCAGTTTCCCAAAACGTCGTACAAAAGTACATCATAAGCCAGACGGCAGTTCGGCCTCGAACGCCTCAGAAGGTCATGAATATCAATGCCTAGAGAGATTATCGAGGACAGCCGTACTCAGCCGTACTTAAACAGTCATACAGCACTCGGAACGGACATGGCAGCTAGCCAGTCAGCCATTTACTGTCCGGACAACGCCCCAACTAAAACACGCCAACATTCAACTGCTGTGATTGCTACAGCCACGCATGGTGTAGAAGGTATTGCTGCTGCGGCTGCTGCTGTTGCCGCAATAGCAATCATCCTCCTTTCAAAGATAAGCACATACAGATGTTAACGTCTACCCAAGGAACTCTGCCCATGATACCATGTAACTATGTCGCCTCGAAGATGCATTCATCTTCACATTCGCACAACCCATCACCCCCCAAAGCATTAATTTTTCCGCTGGTCGTACATTTGCTCGTACCCAACTCAAGATTGGCGTGTACGGGCCTTCGACGGGGAAAGCGGCGGCAGCGTCGGCACGCCGGATGTAGGGCACGTGTTTGGTGAGGTGCTACCACTGCCCCCGACCGTCGCGATGGCCGTGGTCGCAGCTCCCGTACTATCCACACTGCCGTATGTTAGACAAGGCGAACATGGAGCCGATGAGATATCAGTCAGGTCCGCGGCGGCGGCGGCGGCGGGGGTACTGCTCTCGAAGGTGACGGTGGCGGTGAAGGCGTCAAGTGGCGCGTCCGCCGCCTCATCGTCGGGCTTCGTGTCTCCGAAACCAGACCCTCGACCAACAACCTCCATGGGTGTCGTAGTCTCCGGTTGCTCCACCGTGGCGTTGTCGTCGTCGCCACCTGTCGTGAAGGCGAGGCCCAGAGGCGGTAGCTGCTTACCAAAGACCGAGGAGGATGGTCTATAACAGCTGTCGGGCCGTGAAGTGGCAGCGGCGCCGCTGCCGCCGTCTAGGATACCGTGGTGGCGGGTGCAGCTACCGCTGCTACCGCTGCTGCTGCTGCTGCTGCTATAGTTGCTATTTTCGTTCTGGATGCTACCGCTTCGGCTCCGTCCACAGCTGTTGCAAGAACCACCCGTCGCGCCACAGCCACAGCCGCCACAACTGCTACTGCCCGCTACCAGTGGTGCAGCAGGTGACGGGACGCGCTGCCCCCTGCCGCTGCTACTGCATGTAGCGCCCGTAGTCTGCATGCGGTGCCCGCAGGACTTCCAATCCGACGCCAACTCACGTGAAACTACAGCCCTCGGCAGGCCTGGTGCCGTACTTGGTCTCGCAGCTGCCACCGCAGCAGCCGCCGCCACTGCCGCCTCGGCCGCGGCCCTGGGATGCGTCCCGTCAGCGTGTTCGCCGGCAGCACCAGCTCGCCCGCTGGCGCTAACGCCTTGGCTTTTCCAGTCGCTGCCGCCGCCGCCGCCACCACCACCGCTACTGCCGTCGCCACTGCGGATTCTGATACTAGTGCCCTGAGACCGTGATGATGAGCAAGGCGAGCGCGAGCGTGAACGCGGCCCCGGACCCCATGTCGTCAGTCCTGGGCTTCCCTGAATGTCCAGCGATCGCTTCGGTGGCGCGCCCAAGTCCTCCTTCTCCTCCGCCTCCTCCTCCTCCCCCTCCTCCCCGTCGACGGCAGTCACGCCTCCGCTGCTACTGCCGCCGCCACGGACGCCGCCGCCGCCGGCGCCATCTTCCGCTCCGCCTGCCCTGGCCTGGCGGCGGCTGCGGTGAGCCACGCTGCGGCCTGTGTCAATGAGAACACCACGGATTTTCGTCCACCAGGCTGCCGTACGGGCGTGGCGCGGCGGCCGCCGATGCGTGAACATGAGGATGCTGGGCAGTCGCAGCCTGCCGTACACGTCCGGCGCTAGCTGCAGGTCCGCCATGACCCTGGACGACCAGGAACTCGTCTTCACCTTGTTGCTGCAGAAAGAGCTGCTGACGCCACTAACAGCACTGCTGCGGCCGCCACCACCGCCGCCGCCGCCGGCACTGCTGCTGTCGCGTAGACGCGCTGCCGCGTCGGCGGCGTACACCGCCGTCGACGCAGTTGTGCCTCCGGATCGATAGCTCAGCTCCGTACCGATGCCGTCACGGTCGTCGTACAGAAAACCTCTGTACGGGGGATCACCGCCATCGGAAGCCAAGTCGCAGCACTCGCCCGGCTCCTTGATGCCTGTCTCCATTATTGCGCTGCCGTACTCACGCTGAACACGTTCATCGAAATCTTGAGCCTTACCGTTGCCGTTACTGTTGGCGTTACCAGCACCGCGGCAGGCACCGTTGTCGCTGACACAGACCTTACTGCTGGCAGCAATGCCGCTGAGGGTAGCGGTGCTGAGGGCACATTTGCTCGTGGGACGGGTTCCGTCAACACCAAAGTCACCGTTCGTGCCGCTTCCACCACAGCCGGCTTTTGAGACCAAGGAGGCATCTGAAGACTTGAGTGCGGGTTTTAGCGGCTGGCCGTTCGGGGAGCGTAGCCTGGCGATGTAGTGGCTAGGGGGCCGGGAGCTGGCGTTGATGCCTGCTGTGGATGCTGATGTCGAGACGGCAGCAGCCGCATTGCTGTTGTTGCAGGTGCCATTGGTGGTTTCGGAGCTATAAGGATTTACCGGAAAGGGCTCCACTTTGGCGAATGATGTCTGAGTGCGTGGGAGGAGTTGAGGCAGATAAAAGTGCGAGAACGCGGTCAGCCCGACAGGGTTGTTTGGTAGGAAAAGGGCACAAATTGCTGATTGCATGCATATGGTGAACACTTGCTCTCAGGTGTGTCGCTTGAAATTTCGTCTCTGAACCTCGCCATTGGTTTTGGAGTGGTTACTACGGTATAAGGGGAAACTAGGTGCGGCCAAGTTTCCTTGTCCAATGTCATGGAAAACATCTCAGGAACCAATTTATGTGTTACCCCTATCACTCGAAAACGCACCGGGTGACAGAAACAGCCGCCGAACACCATTTCTGCGGCTGAGTTGGCGGGACCCTGACGTTTCGCAAGGAGCGCGTCTTCATCAGATAATGCAAAACAGCTTGCATATAAATGTTATGCATTATAAGCGGAGACCCCTACCTTTTTGTGGGTCAGCAGAAAGGAACGGATTGCGTAACGTTATAGAGAACGTAGCTTAACCCGTGAAAGCTCCATGACTAGATCAGAAACATATATCAGATGCTATGATTATTTTTTTAAGCTCAAGTTCTTGGCACACAACCAAAAGGCCAGTACGCCGCTCGAGGCCGGGATTGATCGTATACGGAGCCCAGCTGTTGTGCGAGCTGCAAGGCTCCTTACATGTATTCATTATATACAACTCTACCTCCCATGTTTAACTCTGCAGGGAGATGCTCACACGCATTACACCACAGAGGGCCTTACTTGAACACCTGCTGAGGGTTATTGCGGCATAAATCGGCTGCAAATATAATACTTCCTCTTAAATGCACCTTGGCACTCCTTTCACCATAACTCCTACATGTCCCTGTTTATCGCGATTTACCGTACAGTAAAGGGCTCTACACGACTGGAGAGCGCAAACACCAAAGTTAGACCGTTTCCGATGCATAAACAACCCAACAAAGTAGGTAACTTATTATCCCGCTTGCTCCTAATATGCGTCGGCTCTGGCAGGCCCTAACAATCGCTTCCTCTCGCATGTCCGCTGACCACGGGCAACCGAGGCTGTAAGGTTGCTGCAGAAACAACTGCTTCCCGCGTGTGAATACACATCACGGCAAATATCAAATGCGTGGATGTTACTCGGCTATGAGTCGCATGCAAGTGCTGAGTTTGCGTAGTTGTCGGCGTCGCCGCTTTATCACTCTCTATCAGCACGGCGTCAGCACACCTCACCAGTGACACTATTGGAGGTCCTCATAGGCAATATTAATCATTTATATTATCCAGTTGGGGGCTGTCTGGCAGGCGGGGCGTTCACTTGAACTGGATATGTCAAAGCTTAT